GTGAGTTCCAGGCCAGCTGGGGCTACAGGGAGACCCTGTCTCAAAAAAAAAAAAAAAATCACACCTATTGACCTTGAAGACAAAATCCAGTCCTAAACATCAATCATGTGCACATTTCCTGTATTTTGTCTAGAAGAGTCTTACTGGGTCTGAATCAGTGTGGCCTCAATGTTTGAAATTACAGAATTTTCTCCATATACAAATATTAGAGGAGGTTAATTTTGGGGGTTTTGAGACAGGCTCTCACTCTGCAGCCCAGGCTGATCTAGAACTCACTATGTAGCCCAGGCTGGCCTTGAACTCTGTTCAGTCCTACCTCAGCTTCTTGAGTGCTGGGATTACAGGCAAGAGTCTAACATACAATTTTTTTTATTGAGATAGAGAAGTATAGGTATTTTAAGTATTTTGTTATCCTTTCATGAGAATAAATCCTTAGAATTCGGGGATTATTTCATGACAATCACGGTTTTCTTACCCAGTACTTCCTCTTCGTAGGCACCCTCTGCCCTGCTGCAGCCGACCTCACAGGACTCCCTCTGTGGAAGACATGGTGGCATGAGTCACAGCAGCCTTTGTACTAGTTCTGCTGAAAAGCATCAGCTAAAATTTAACATCTGAATCCCTTAGCTATATTTGTATAAGTAGAGCATGATGGCCTATGCTTGGGAGGTAGAGACAGAAGTTCAAGGCCATTCTTGGCTACTCTGCAAGTTTGAGGCTAGCCTGACCTGAATGCCAACCTGTCTCAAAAAAACAGAAGAAAGGGAAAGAGGGAGGGAGGGAGGGAAGGAAGGAGGAGAGAAAGAAAGAGAGAAAGAGAAAGAGAAAGAGAGAAAGAAAGAAAGAAAGAAAGAAAGAAAGAAAGAAAGAAAGAAAATGTACTTGAAACACACAGTTCTGGTGGTTTTATAGTTACAGAGTTGTGTCATCATCAATACAATGTAATTCTGGAACATTTCATCATTCCATAAAGAAACCCCATACCTGCAATGTGTCCTTACATATTTCATTCTGTTCTGTTTCGATTTGCTTAAGGTGACTTGAGTCACTGAATTGATTTCATAACCCTTTAACTCTATAGTCTGAAAAACACTGAGCTTAATGACTCAATTTTATGTTTGCCATCTTGGTGAAAGCTTTGATGAGCTAAAAAACTAAAACTGCAGTCCAAAATACTGCATATGATTGCCTGCTTACTGCTTTCCTTGCGTTGTTTTTCCTGCATTCTTAGGAATTAAAAATTGACTACAAATTTTACAATAGGCAAACATTTTCATGGATACCTACATCTCAATGTTGACTTTTAAGATCTACAAAAGTTTAATGATGGCAGACACCTTATCTCATTAAACCAAAGACAGAGTACATATTTGAGGACTGATACCCAAACTTCCTAAAGATGCATTAACGTTAGTTACAGAAGAAGACAAAAATGGGGAGAAGGTACACATCGTAAAACTACGACCCTGTCATGCTCAATCTCCCTGTTCTCCTTCAATTTATAACTATAATACCCACAACACATTATTGTTTCTCAGGATAATGGTAGAAACCTTGCCACAATACATCTGCCCTGAAAAGAAAGGCTGTCGTGTGCAAATATTAACTGTGTGATGTTTGAGCTGTGCACTAAAAGGAAATAGAGCCTGATAAGGCCAGGTTTACTTAGTTAAGGATTAATTCAAATAGTGTGGCTTAGACTCAGGATAGTTTAACTTAAAGGTTTAGTTACTTGTCACATCCTCTTTGGAAAGTAAACCACATTTAGCATCTCCACAGCTGTGGAGAAAGAAACAAACCAAGTAGCAACAAAAGTTTATAAAAGAATTTTTTTCTTCCAAAAAAGGGAGATATATCTAGAAATATATGTTGCTTGGAAATAGGTGATCCTGATAGAAAGAAAATTGTGGCTCTGTTTTTCCTGGATTTTTTCCCAGAGGAAACATATAGCAAAATTTTCATCATGAGCAGAGAATTTAAATGTTATCTCAAGTAGAGACAAAGCTGTCAGCCACACTGCCCCATGCCCATGGACACAAGGCAAATCAGACTTTAGATAAAGCTGTCCAGCATTTCGAAAGGTTAAGGTGCCTGGAGAGAATGTAGAGGAGGTGGTGTTGAAGCAGTTCACAGAATCTGAGCCAGAAGCTTTGGGGTGGGACATTCCTATCATGTATTCCAGGTGTCTGAGTTCCAAGACTCCTCTGACCAGAGGCTGCACCCACCTGCCATCTCAGAGTCTATCCCCACTCACAGTACTGAGATCATCTTTACTCTCCCTCTGGCTCTATTCTCTACTTCCCAGACCGGCTCATGCTGCCTGCATCTTTCCTAATTTTCTTAACAGAGGGGAAGAAATGTGTCTCGACCTCCATATGGATTCCAGTGTTCTTGCCTAAAAGATCTCCCCTCATTCATTCCTTCAAAAATATTTATTGAATTCCTTTTCTATGTGAAGCAGAATTCTGTGCTATAAGTGTATGGCATTGGATGTGAGACAGGTAAGTTCCCTGCCTTTGTGGAACTTGCATTGTCTTAGAAGGGAATAGACATAAGTGAATGACAAGTTTTTAAACACTCATGATGAAAAGTGCTATGCAGCTGAGTGTGGTGGTGCACACCTGTAATCTCAGCACTAGGCCGAGGCAAGAGGCTCAAAGCCATGGGATGGGATGAGGATCCTTTGTGGTGATGAGGAGGAGCCATGCATAGGTGACTCTCAGTCAAGTCTTGAGCCATAAGAAGGAGCCTGGGAACGTGCTGGTGGGGAAGATGGAAGTCTTGAGGCAGGGAGGCAACCTATGGTTACAGAATAGTAAAGGACATGGTGGCTGACACAGAGAACGTGGAGAAAGGGAGTAAGATCAAGTCAGACAAAGAGGCAGTGGAGACCTGAGACTCGCACAGAGTGCCATTGTGTCCAAACAGCAATAAGGAGCCACAAAATGGTTTCCAAAATTAAGATCTGCATTTGACCTTCATCAAAAGGCTAAAATGCTATAAAAGATCCAATTCATGTTAAATTATCAGAGATATGGCAGCTCACTTGTCATCGTCATTTTCCAAGTTCTGTTTTGCTAAGCTATCATTCTTCCAAGGAATACACATTATCAAGTTTCCAAACACCTTAGGTGTGAACGCACATGATCAAAGTGCTTCATTTCCTAAAGGTG